GCCCAACATAAATCTTTTTTTAAAAGATTTCCTTTTTGCTGGGTGGTGGCAGAGGTAGGAGGATCTCTGTGAATTCAAGAGGTAAACATCTGTGATTCTAGTTTCTTTCAGTTTCATTTATTTCTAAATAGAAGTGTTTTTGTTCTTTGAGATAGGACGGGTCAACCTGACCTCACACTCACTATGTAGTCAAGACTGGTCTGAATTCTTAATTCTCTCATGTCTCTGCCTCCCAAATGCTGGTATTACAGGCATGTGCTGTCACACCCATCCCTAGAAACAAATTTAAACTTTTGTTCAGAAAATTATTAGCATTATATTCTGTGGCTTTTGAATTTGTGACAGTCAAAAGTTTTAAATAAAAAAGGGATATAGTTGTATTTGTATATTAAGAAAGGGCATTGCTATCCTCAAAACAGATTGGGAGCAAGTAATTGGAACCAGAGAAGAAACTGGGAGGTCAATTAGAAAGCCAATGATGGCGGCATGAGCTGGGAGCAGGGGCAAGGCAAGGGCAGGGTGCAAAGGCAACGGAAATGACCTGAGGCTTGGATACATTTGTGTGGATGCATACACTGAGCTGCATTCCAGCCCTTGGGTTTGAGGTGTTACCTGCATCCCTACAAAAAATTACTTTTGACCTCCCATGTTTATAGCAAATGGAAACCATCACAGGAAACACAGCTGGACACAGTGCAGAGATGAATGGATTGTGGGGAGCCCATCCCCAAAGGATCCATCTGCATCTCAGCTCCTGCAGCAACAGCCCAGGGAACATTGCTGAAGAGAGGACGGAAAGATTGTAAGAGCCAGAGGACCAGGATGTCTGCTGGGAAACAGTCTCTCATAGAAACGGCTGCGTAAACAAGATCTGAACAATGGCGACATCAATAGACTGCTAGCGCTGTCGGAAGCAGGAAATTTCACCCCTAGACAAAGAACTAAGGCAAAGAGAGGGGAAATTAGACTCCGTGAGCCCCCTAATTGGTTGCCCAATACAAAGGGGTTAGCCCTGAAACCATATACACACAAACAATAAAAAAAGGACCCTGTAGGCTGATGCATACATGGTTGTATTTATACTTATGTGTAACTACATATTCATCTATAAATGTAACAATAATGAAAGAACACGAGGCTATTCATGTGAGAGTGGGAACATGGGAGGGAATGAAGGCGGGGACTTGGGAGGAGCTGGAGGGGAGAAAGGGAAGGGGAAGTGATAAAACTGTATTTTAATTAAAATGTATAACATGGCTTTCGTTTAAGTTAGCTGGGATTGCTTTTCCCTACTCTTTTTTTTTTTTTTTT